AAAGGGCGGGAACAATGGATTAAGTGAATTGAAGTTGATCGAATGGCATGGCTCGGCCATGCAGGCGTGGTCCCTGCTGAATGTTACCTTATATCTTCTATTCATATTAAATATATTGTTCTTTCTCTAGCCTAACCTTGTTCCACATAATGTATTGGTATTTGATACGATACAGTGAGTTGGTGTAGTCGATGGTGTGACTTCCACGTAAGATCTTATAGATTAGGCAGTTATATCATGACAAATCTACAAATTTAGGATGAGGTCTATTATTAGAGCAGCACTAATATCACAGTAGACCATAATTCTACAGACCTACATGAATCGGTTCACAAGGCCACGCAAATCTAAGGTTCAACCCAATAATATTTTGTATTTAATGCCAATTATGTTAGGTTTGTTTCTGACCGAATGATTGGTTGCTTTCGAATCTCCTCGATTACTTAAACACGGAAGTAACTTAGTAAGGTTTCTTAGTTTGAATAAATGGACTTCTATCATTTTGATGCTTATTACCATTTCTCAATCGCTTTCCCTTAGTCTAGTCTTAGATTTAACCACACCCAATAAAATGCAGTTGGATATACGTGTTATTCTGTGTTTTCTAGGACAACTATGGTGCTAGTATGGACTTTTGTACCTAATGTCCGTCTGATTTGGAATTCCAAATACAATAAGTTCGCCTGTGCTTGCCTAGTTCTTCCTGAATTATTGCGTCATCTTTGGGATTCCTAGTTCGTGTAGCAATTCAAATACTTGTACTTATTGCAACAACATACTACGGAAAATCTTATTATATGTAACTACACACCTAAGCTTTCAACCCCTGTTTTTATGTTGTTGAACAAACGATGGATCTGTATTTCAGAAATGTTTAGTTATAAAGCGCTTTTATATCAATGCTCTTGTGATGTTAGATTAGTATTTAGAAGAGACTGTCGTCAATGGACGTTTACCGGAATCCAAATGGTCAGATTTTAGATTTCAGTAATCAACAAAACTCCTACACAAAAAACACCGTGATCTTTTTTAATGAATAATTGCGGTACAATTTAGTAAATAAATCTGAATTCAATACGCATCTGTTAACATTTACTCTGTAATAAGATTTTGATATGCAGAGAGTATTTCAAGAATTTCACGGTTCGAAGCTTATGTGCAGGTGAGATTTCAGTCGCTTTTTATTTGTCTCACTTCAAGTTCAATTTCTTATTAGAGCTATTATAGTTTTAGGCACCTAATGACATACTTAATAATATTCAACAAGGACACTTTTTCCTTCATACAACACTCTTTAAATCCTCCTCATGAGATATCATGCCAGTAATGTAAAATATTCTAATTTGATCGTTAATTACCAGTCCGTGCAAATCAGTTAATATGGCACTTAAACCCATAGTTATAACCTTTTCGTACAAACGGAAGGAGACCTATTATTACTTACGTTGCAACCTTCGTCGTAGGAACATAATGATACAAACAACATATATGTATGCAGTACCATAGATTATGGTATTGTTCATTTGATGATTCCGTACACACAAAAAATGTAACTTTTTCGGATAGTAGTTTTCATGTCTTTATATTCAAAGACTTTTAACTGGGGACATTTCGTACAGCAAATGATAGTTTTTCGACGATAAACATTATGCCATATATGCAGAGAAGTGTTCCCTGATACGATGAAGTATGGTAATGGGTAATGGGAATTCATTTTAGTCAGAAATATGTAAGAAGACTACTAGAACTGATTCAGAATCAGCTTTCTGATAAGAAAGTGTATCAAGGGTACTGAAATCGAGGTGTACTTTTCTACATTCACTGAAAAGAATAACTATAGTTTACTGAAAATCTCGGTTTTTTGATAAACCTTATCATAACTCTACATAAACACGAAGCATTTTTGATTTAAATATATAGTAGTGAATAATCTGCAAATTCTTCTTTGTTGTTTGAAATCTGGAGCTTCACTAGAAAGGTTTCAAAGACTTTAAGATCATTTAGCACTTTCTCAAACTCATAGGTATGCTCATCTTTACAACTTCACAACTCGCATAATTTTACCGAATAGTGTATTTAATTTAGTTGCATGACATTGTTCTTAGAAAAGTCACGTTAGCTTTAAAATCACTCTACTCAAGAATGGATGGTTGTTAAGCCAGAGTTTTAAGGGAAATTCTTTCCGTGTGTTTTTCAATGTCGGGTCCAGAGGATGTTTGCCAGATTCAACGTATCTCCAATGATCTAAAGACGTCAACTGATGATTAACAACTCGGCGTTCAACTACTTTAGGTGTTCTTCAGATTACTTACGCTTCTTATCTCTCGTAAATTATAGGGCGCCGGCCGAGAGTAACAAACCCACTTTGTTGTGGGCTATCATTTCCAGCTTTCGCGTAGCACATAATAATCATGGAATCTATCTTCATGCAACATACTGTTATTTGAGAACATATCAATGTTATTAAGTGGATCTTATCGAACAGATGCAGGAGATCCCCACTGAATAATAACAACATATATATTTCATAGCATGTACACATTATCTCTAAAGGCGTGAGAACTGTGTTTAGATCGTGTCCGTTTCAAACTGTTTAAAAATGGATCTCGTGAAAAATGCAACTTTGATGAAGGCACATCTGAATCAATTCCAACTATGCGTGTCAAATTCGTGGTGCTGAAAAGGTTTTACAGTTGCTTCCTTTCACTTACAACGAAAAAATACTGTGTACGAGGGATCGTGTCCAGAGACGTTCTGTAAGCAGACAACCATTTCAATGCCTATTTCGTGGGCATGAAGGAAAAAATGTAACTCGGTTTCCTAAACGTTACTTTCATCCTCATTTAATGCTTATGGTTAAGGTCAAGACTCCCATTTGATTAGCTCAGCTGTTCCATGAGGACGTAACACTAGTACTCAAGGGCTGATACCAACCCACCTAGAACGTGAAGATTGTAAAAGTCTCTTGAGAAGGAAACACATCGGACCAATCATACCCAGCGGGCTGAACAAGGATGAAAGAAAGGATAGTATTTCTTTCCCGGTTGGATGACTTACACTTAGGTCAAGCCGAAGTCTCAAAATGTCGTACACTGTGGAACATTCACTGGCGTCAGCTTCGTGATTAAATAAATGACTTAAGGGCTTAAAACTTTTGTCTCTATATTTCAGAAGTTTGAAAACTTAACTCACTAGTCCCAGTCAGCCACCCACATTTTAATCTGGAATCATCGAAAGCCGTCAGATTTTTTGAACTGTTTCACAGATATGTCACAAAACTTACTGATTAAAAGAGAAACAAGGTGGTCTTACGAATAGGAACCGTGCAATACCGATTTCAACACATCGTTATTATAAAGATCATTGAGTTTCCAAGGAGTTTGCTCCATGGCAAATGTGCTCAAAATGGTGAAGAATTTGAGCGCGAGAGGTGTGATGCCGACTGATATTCGATAGGTTTTCTTGCAGGTGCAAACTGTAGGTATCAGGGATAAAATTGAACACCATGGTTGCGCTCTAGAGATAGAACTTAAATGAACACCTTCACTGAATATGCAGTTAAAGTTGTGGGTTGTTTGCGGAAACGTCACAAGACTATGACCAAATTTATCGTCAAGTCCAGTCACTAGGACAGTAAGTTTCTAAAAAAATTCTGAAGGAATTAACCCGCTAAATGAATGTAAAACATAACTCCCCCTCTGAAGACTGATCACTGGACACTGAACTACCTATCATGAGCCGTAAGAGTCGATGACGAGTAACTTTGATTGAATAGAATCAGCTCGTCACGCGGATCAGTCACATTTAGTGTTGTACTTTCTTTCTTTGTGGACCTAAATATAACTCCACTTGACAAGATCTTATGTGTAACCTGAGCTGTTAACCAGACTATAGTGAACCGGAAAGGATATTATTAGGTAGTGCAGGTTTCACGTAATGTCGTGTAGATCAGGCAGCCATACTAGTCCAGTTAATCTCAAATTATGTTGAGATTATGAGCATAATGAGGTAAAATTAAGCCGAGCATGTCAAGTGTAGCCGAATTTGCAAAACTACTAACTCCGATTACACAACTGGTCATTAACCATGTGAATGTTCATTTCATTAATTACTAACAAAGCCAACAAAAATCCAGTTTGTCTAGAGTTTAAAAGTAAATTATTGGTGAGGGTATTTTTGAGATCAAACGAACAAACGATGAAAGAGTCAATGTATGGAGGGATATGTGGAAATGGTGGAATTTCAACAGTCTAAATCATGGACCGTAACAATGGAGAGTTGTTTCGTTCTAGTACAGGATTCCACAGTGGTGAGAAATAGCTTTACGGTGCTTCCTGGTTCTCAGTAGTGATCCAGACGACAGGATAGATGTATTGTAATCAATCTAGCTTCCGAAAAAGACACAGATAAGAAATGTAAAGATGAAACAGGTATTCAGAATTTGACAACCTCTTTACACGTAATAACTCCAAAATCGAAGTATACCAACCCAGTTAAATAAAAAGTCGAAAATGTTGGAGTTCGAAGATATATTTGGAAGGCTAATGATGTGTCGGGAAGCGTTTGGTCTATGCTGGTTAGTAGTCGCAAGAGATGTGTAGCACGGCGTATCCACACATGATCTGGTGAGGATGCGTGATCGAAAGCATTCAGCTATGTGTGTCCGTTAAAACTAATGGGGTCAACACCAAGTATCGGGGACTTACAGAACTATTTGTTTTAGGTTTTTTACCACTACAACTATGATAGTGATATAACTCGAATGTGATAGAAAATTTCGGTCGTCATTGAAAAATGAGATTTTTACAACAAATCTCGGAAAAACGGTCTCACATTCCAATTGCTATTACGTTTGCATGGGATCACGCGACGAAATTTTAAACTGCGGAACTTAATTAAAATAATGTGGTTATGATTGGCAGTTATTGATAAAATGAGTGACGTTTACGCATTTTACAGTTGGCTTGTTTTTTCTTTGCACCTTCTGCCAAAGTTGATTCACATTTTGTTCCGTGTCAATTAAATTGTTTTTGTGGACATGTGAAAAACCATATTTTTCTAAGAGGCATGCGAGGAGATATATTTTAACTCTACCTAAATTCGTGTTATCAGTGCAGAAAGTCTGATCCTCCTGTGGACATTGAAAATAGATCATTTCCTACCCTATTGTTTGACACAATACCCATATACAATCTTACACATAATGATTTAACTGGTGTATGGCTCTCGACATCATAACCGAAAATACTTTTCTATTAACCTTACTGTGATTTAACAACAATCCACATATTAGCCTACTGATTGTTTGAGTGCCTCAGGAAGTAATGCGATACCTGTCTGCATGGCGGAATATTTTGCGTTTAGTTTAGGTGGTTAGTTAAAAATAGTAATGTAGCAATGGAGTGAGCTCCATGTAATATGTCTAGTATGAGCCAGTTGACAGGGCCTAATGACGCTTCACTTGAGCATTGCTTCACTAATATTTTCGCCTTGGTAAGTGCTTAGTATATAACGTTGTTTTTCAATGAAATACTGTTTGAAGTTTAATTGACCAATTACTGTTTCCCTATAGACTGATTTCAGTGGTATACAGTACAGAAAATACATCCTTCATACTCCCAAAGAGTATCATGACCCGCTAAACGATCCAATTATTAAGTCCTACACACTGTGCCAGAAGTATGGCGTTCTTTCAGCCTGGGTGCGCTCAAAACCAGAGTCATCTGACTTATCAAATCCTTGCGCTTTTTCGAAGTTTGCTAAAGAGCTCTGGGTGTTTTGGTATGGAAACGATGACTTTCCAAATGCTGATAGCTGTATACTGCCAGAACTCCGTAGGGAGGACCATGGAAACTGGCGACAAGGTCTATCATATGAAACAAGAACTGTCTTGTTTCGAGCCTTGCACAACGTTGTTGAAAGGTTTGTACACAGGTCTTTGATCTAATATTTAAAGATGTCTGCTTACTAAAGGGTTTGTGCGCTTGGGCAAATGGTTTGTACAGCCTCGTAAATGCGGTTGCAACGATGACAAGTAAGATCAAATGATATAAGTTTAATTCTTTCTAGCGTACAGTACAGTGTCAGTTTTTCGTTCTTCCTACACGGTGAGAGTACGGTGTGTGCTAGTCTCGACATTCGTCAACACGCTGCTGTCCAAAGAGTTGGAGTTGAACACATTCAGAGTTGTATCACAAGTCAGTCAACCATACCCGGTAGGTCTTCCCTAAGGTATCTAATATGCTACGCACAATTTGTTCCCATATTAAGGGTATTTATATGTTAATTTTTGTGCTGATGATAAAGTACATAGTATTCACCGTATTTTGTGTGGTCAGATAATGATATAGACCCAGTGTCATCCTTCAGTAGCTCAGCTGTATCAGTGTCCACCATTACCTATTTTACTAATGATTTGCCGAATAAATGTGGAGTGCTGCTTAGCGGTAATCATCTTACAGATATTGTTCCTGCTATCTTATTTAATTAATAATGTCAAGTGCATAGTTTTTTTCCACATGCTATAATCTACTTACTAGTAAGATTACTTTTTGTAATTTGTAATTTTATCAAGCGCTGCAGTGACTTGAGACAATGCACATTCGTATGAGTTTCTTATTTTACTTTTGACTGGCGAAAAGCCACTATCTTGACAACTTAGTACATGTTCATGCACTCGATCTTGCATCACGACTGTTAAAAAATCAGAGACATTGTCCGACTGCTGGGTTAAAGCAAGTACAAAGGGATCTCAACCTTCAACGTAGTTGACACATGTTTTATCTGCTTAACCACCATGACCGTTACCTAGATTTTTGTATGTCAAATAAACCCACCAACTATTGTGACGAATATACTGTTTTATATGCAAAACATTTATTTAGCGCCACGATTTATATGGGTTGTGCTAGTACAATATGGGCTCCACTGTCATTAATTTACAGTTAACTAGTTCGGTTGTGATTATTGAGTAGAAGCTACGTTAGTCAAATCGCTGTTTATTATTCTTGGTGTCTTGATATTTCAATCACATGTATTCGGTATTAGTTTTAGGCTTTTTCCCGATGTTGCGTTCACAAGTAGTGCTCTCCCAGTGATATAATCTGAAACCCAATTCATTTCACAGTTCCGCGTTTCGAGCTTATTACTTTTTCACATCCTATTGGTGAATTCTTTCGCTAGACAAGTATATGACAGTGATCCTTAGAAGTTGGTATCAAAAGGTGCTTCTTAAAAACGAGCATGCTAGTGTACGGCCGGACCAAACATAATTCTACCGTATTCACTCATATTTTGTCTAGTTCAAAGGTCAGCTTCAACCTCACTTTCCTTTAGTTTTTATCCGATCATTTTTAAACAATTCTTTAGATGGCTTAACTCATGAAAGCAAGTACGGGTCAGATTACGAAATAATTATAGTAAAAAGTATAAACGTCCATTCAGAATCGTGTTGTTTTGCACTCTTTCATATTCAAACAAACACATTTCTCCGTGAATCTTAATTTAATTACAGTCATCCTGGCACCTTATGGAATATCTGCAGAGCTGACGGGTTTCGGTTTTGAAAAGAAAGACAGAGATCTGATGGTTGAATCAGAAGCATGGTCGACTTTTTACCCCCTCAGGCCCAGTCACGAATGTGACCCTTCTATGAGTGGTGTAACTGGTCTGCCGTTTTTTGCTATGGCTACTCCTACGCATCAGAATCCACGTCAGCAGAATAGATTTAGTAATGATAAGAAGCGGACAGCAGAAGAAATCAATCGACGGTGTCTAGATACCCCACCCAAATTTGTTGAGGTGATTGTCGGTAAGTTAGCGCTAAAATCTGTGATATCAATTTCCAATCATCCCCAAGCTATGTAGACAACCCACTCAACCAACATGACCCGTAATTCACTTACCGTACGAGGACATGTAATTGAGACACGAGACTGACCAAGATAGGATAGTTAGTTATGGGTTATCACTTGCTGCAACTAAGCAGAAACGTCTAGCAAATATCCGCTATTTATGTAATGCAATGGTTGTAAGTGGTTTAAGACTATTAGATGCCCCAAAATTGTCATTGGTTATCAAGTAATTATAAATTGGTCTCTCTAAAGGACACCAGGCGTGCAACTCAGAAGTATTGGACATTTAGACTTCGGAATGGTATTTACAATTTAAAAGATGACTCAGTAAGTATATTTCATATATGTGTTTATTCAGTAGAGTTTCCTCAGTCATTAGATTTGGAATTAGTTGACAAAATCTACGTGATTTTACTGCAGAGATTCGTGCGTAGGTTTTACGTGTACAACAACCTAACGGCATACTAATGTGAAGTTTGTCACTAGTAGGTGGTAAATATACAGTTACTAAGTAATGGTCCATAGAATTTCCAAGGTGCTTTCGATGGAAAATAACATTATTTAGTACATTACATGTATACACGGTACTCTGTTAATCGTGTTCTTTTTTAGGTATTTCTCTAGGACAAAAGTATATCACGTGTGCCTCTAAAATGTCAAATGGTTTGATGAACAGAGGTGATTATTTCTTCCGTGTTGTGAAGAATATCAGTCCTGAACCTTTTTCTGTACAGTCATCTTCATGTTTCAGTGTAGTCAATGCAGTGGCTTAGTAGTAAAAGTATCCAAAATTTGACCACTTAGTCCCGAATTCGAACCCCAGATTACCAACCTAGGTTTGGGCAACCCAGTAGTCTCATTAACTGTCGCACTGAAAGTTTGGCTCATAGTAAAGTATATGGTGAATGAGTTGGTTTGTTTTTTGTGTTTTAGTGAATGCAGGTTTAGGCAGCTGAAATACCGCTAATAGTGCACTCTGTCTTTATGTTTAGATAACAGCCCATCACTCAATTATAGGGTTGTATACTGTTTTTTGAGGATTAACAATAGATTTTTCTGCTCAAATCAAAGTAAATGCAGCATAGTCTGAACGTACAACCTAATCGTCAAGTTAAATGTCTTTACTACTTTGCTGTCCCAAACTGCTTCCCGTTGATTAAATGGATTTATAAAGTGAGATGAGATTTTCAATAAGCATGTCCTAGTCCAATGCAGTGTTTTATTCAAGTTTTATCATTTTTAACCTTTAAGCTTTTGGCCAAATAATTCTTGGTGTGATTACATGGATTAAGTAAAATGCGAATGTTTAGATTCTAATTCATGTACAGTAGGTACCTAATTATCTACAGGGTAGTGAACAACACTAAATGTTCTGTCATGTGTATATTTACCATAGCACAAGTATTTTGTCTTTGTCGGTTCGTGTATTTTAAATGCGTTATTTGTCATTGGTTCGTATTTCTTCACAGATGGTTTTCGTATGAGATACCCAATGTGCTTTGTTCTAATAACCTCTGTAAACGATTCACCTAGTCAACCGGAATATAACCCAACACCTTACGGTGATGCAATTTATTTATCAGACGTTTCCGGTCATAATTTATCTACGAACGTATCAGTGCCCTATATGTCGAACAAATGTTCTATGTATAATGCCCATATTCCAAATAAGATAAAAACATCACGCTTCTGGAGAGTAAACAAACGGAGAAAACGCCCGTCTATAAAAATGAACACACCTGGGACGTCTTTGCTGAAAGCAGTTATTCCTAATAGTTCTTTGCAGTCTGATTTCTTAGTAGATGTTCGTCATATCTACCTAGCTGGAAGAACTCTCCAGTGTGCATCGCAACATAATCGTCTTCCTTCTATGAAACCAGAGTGGCAATCAAAACGGTCACATTCTACTGATAAAAGTGATATGGGTTGTAGTACTGATGGGCTCATAACTTCAGTATCACCCGAAATGTGCTCATTGTACATACAAGATCCATGTACTATCTTGCAGTGCTGCTGCAACAGGTAATTTTCTTACTAATTTAATGTTCACATCCACATGGTTTTTAAAGAGTAACGTTCAGCAAATATTTAAGATAAAATGTTATACATTTTACCAACGAATTAACTGCAAATGGCTATCATTCATATTTTTCGGTTATTGGATACATTTGTCAGTGTGAAATCTCATATTTTACTGTGAAGCATAATAAGATAAGATATGTATTTACTAAGATTTTCATATTAAGTACTCAGAAACTATTATTCACTCGTAAATAATGTCAAATACAAATTTGCATTCACCCGAAAAAAATCTGTGTTTGTGATTGCTCAGTCTTTTAAAATTCCCATTACTGGATCCAACAGTATCAGGCGACTTATGAAATCCGCTTATTTAATTAAACCTTTGGGATACTCGACAGACTTACTAATAAAATAAATGCAGTACCATTATTAACAATTTGTGTACTCAGTGAGCACAATATTCAGTGAAAATGGTTTTACTGCATATGTTATTTCTTCTAAATAGTTTATTGGGCCACCGTTTCAGGTTTTCTCGGGTTCGTCGCACTTCTGTTGGTGGTTCGTTTCATCAGCAAGATCCCTGTATCCGACATTCTTTGAAGTCATCTATTCATTTCAATGTCCCGTTCTGTGATCGTCCAAGGACTCCACTCCCAATGATTACAACCAACTTAACTGCAACCCATGACCCATCCATGCCTACTCTGAGCCCTCAGCAACCAGCTCCAAACCAAAACTCAAGCCTTAGTTCTAATACCCTCAATGAATTAAATAACGATTTCGTTTGTGATCAGAATACTTCCCAGACCACACCTTCATCCACTCACCTTTCAACAGCGCCACAACCTCCATCACTTCTTCCTAAACCTGAAAGTAACTCAACTTTATCTTCGATTGTAAAGGTAATATGCGCAGAAATATCGTATAATTCAAACCCTTTTATCAAAATATAGTATTACGTTATTTCAAGTGCCAAGTTTTTTGATATTTCTTACTTTCACTACTTTAGTTTAACTCGGATGCTTTAATCATTAAGCCATAGCTCCACTATTTGCTCGATATTGTATAATTTTTTAATAGAGAAAGAGAAACATGATCGTGATTGTGAATCAAAGCTGTTAGTCATGTCCACAACTAACTAGTCGCTTAGGCGCCCACCACGTCAATATGGTCCGATTTGTTTGTAGACTATCCCTGTTGCATGTAACCTGCCAATTGAAGGACATTATTATCCTATTATATTAGTATGACTTATGATTTTTTATTCATTTCGATAAGACACGCAATACTGGTCGGTATGTTTGTGCGTCCAATTTAATGACTATAATCCCTTTAATTACTGTACTAATTGAATTGTTTTTACGCTTAGAAACGGATGAATCTTAAAGCTAAGTTTTCCTCGTTCTGATTATGGCTTCCACATAGACTCTGGGGTCTCCAGTATCGTGTTTACAGTTCCGGTAGAATATCTGTAAGATAAATTAAATCCTACAAACGGTTTAACAGTTTTTCAGTAAGATTGAAGTACAGTTCTTTCCACTTGTTTCTAATGTACGTTTCACTTTAATTGCAAATAAAAAAGAAATAGAGGGACAACAATAAGCATGAAAAATAACATCACTCGAATTGGCAAAATGTAGCGGTACACATTAAAAAAGTACTGGGTGTGATTAATTGTATGACTAACCTAATCTCTCGACTATGCTGTCTAATCCTAATAAATTCAATTCGGTTATACAACTAAGAACAACACTCATTAGCCTTTTTGTGTGTCCACTTTTTGTTCTTGCTAACACTAGTTGTTGTTCCGTGGATGCTATGGTTTTGTCGTTCCTTTACAATAATGCCTGAATTATCTCTATTAATGGTGCCGTCTAGGTTCTGAGGAAAAGTTGGTATAAGAACTCCTAGATTTCCGAGAATCACGCTAAGTTAATCGTTTCTAAGCGGTTTATTGATACTTTATTACAAGTCGTAATCAAAATGACCAGTTTTTCTAAGAATTGTATTTATTGTTGGGATTTATTTTCTATTGTACAAATCAGTGGTTTTGTAAAATATCTTGTTTGTTACATCTTAGATACCTAACGGTTTGGTGATCACCGACTCACCCGTTTCTTCAGATCATCAAACGCAATATGCAAAAATGTCAGCCCGACACATTCCGATCGCTTCTGTATCTGTAATGAAAAGAAATTTATTCAATACTTGGTTAGCCAGACATGCAGCCCAGGAATTGCAGAAAGAACCATCTAGTGACATAAAGCGTCCAAGCTTATGTCTTAGCATTCCAGATCGAATTGAAAGAGAACAGTATATATGCCCAGAAGGCATCGCTTTGCAATCTGCCCTTGAGCAATCATCCCCATCCTTCCCGAATTATAGTGTTATCGATGACAATACATCGTACAAAGAAAATAATGTAACTACTGACGAGTAGTAAGTAGCATTACTGTCAAAGCTATTTTGTAAATAGTTAAGTCATCAAAAAATCAGTTTTAGGTGTTTTAATTAGTTATGTTAATGGCTATGTTCAATCTTCTGCACGAATAATCGTGATGTTCACATTTCGGTAAGACTAAAATTAAACGTTACAACTTAAATGCTCTGAGTAGCCACTCATTCTGTTTGGAGTTTTCATGAACTATTATGTGTAAAACTGCGTAAATACGTAGTACTGATCATCCCATTTAACCTGACTCATTCTCGAATTACACATTTTACTTTCCTCTTGTAAATGTTTCAAAACATATTAATTAGTTCGAAATAAATATGTTCGTGTTAATTCGGGTTAATAAAATATCTAAACATTATTAAATGATGAAACTTTTCGGTCACTTTAAGTGATCAGTTTTTAAACGGAATTTTTTCACTTTTTTTATCGCGATCCTTTCATTTATTTCAGGTCTGTTGTTAACGCTAATATTGATTTACACATCCAGTTGTATAAGGGCTCTGTCCGCACTCGAGCTAAGCCGCTTATTTTTTTAATTATTTGGACACAAGCATCAATAAAAAGGGCACCAATATATCTGCGCCACATACTAAAAATAAAACTGTGATGAATTAGGTAAAGGAAAGTGAGTATAATAAAAGGACAAAAGTGAATAAAAGTTAGTGTATGAGAGTGAAATAATAATAGTTATAATAGGAGGAGGAGCAGTTCGGTTGGGAAAAATGCAACCACAAAGAATTCTTTCAGTTAAATAGGTTACACTTTTATGAATAAAGTTACAGCAGGACCGCCGTTGGCATCTATTCTGAACCTAGTCTGATAACTTCTCAAGCCACTTTGTTGCATCGTCTCTTAAATCCCAGCCAGGGTGTCGTGAAGATTCAACAGATGTGTTGCTGTCAATTTTGGCACTGCCATCTACTACCTTGGTACTACACTACCTTAGTGGTGTAAACATAGATTTCTGTAGTTACTTGACACATAGTTTGTAATCTCAGCATGTTTGAGAGTTTACATGTATTGTTGTTATTTGGAAAATCACTCTGGAGCTTTGTAAAATTTCCAGTTCGTTTAGAAACAAACGCCCTCGTACTGCTATCTGCCGCACTGATTTCAACGAATGCAGTTTGAATGATGGCGCACAAGGAATTACGACAGATATCACAAATGTCAACTTCACTTCTGCTAATCCATGTAAGTTATCATGCCTTATCAACATTTTCTTATGTTATTGTGCTATCGCTCTAACTCACTTATTCATTTCTAGATTCCCCGGATATGAAGGTCGGAGTTGCAGAGTGCAATGGTTTAATCGATGACCAACACATTAATCCAGGAGCATTGGAAACAAATACTCATTCTGGATTGATGCATTCTAACGGTTCCGTCATGAATAATTCAAGTGGTACTTTCAGTCGCAACGTTGGACTAATCACTCACGTAAGTCTGTTCACATCTATGTGTAATCAAGTCGAGGGGCATATGTCAAATGTTTATTTCGCTTGGGGATATTTATGGAATAAACGTGCTGATATTCTTTTGATATCTCTCATTAAGTTTTCTAATTTACTGACAAATCGTCTATCTGTTTGTACAATCAATATTGTATAATGTTTAATCAAGATGGGTGACTAAAATGAGCTGTATATTCTATTTAACAGACTAAACTGTTAGATCTGTGCGTGAAGCAGTTCCTTTAGGAAGGTGTCATAAACTGCTTCTTACGCAAGTTAATTAAAGTGTTTGGAAGTAGGCTACAATATATTTTGTCTGTTAACATCACTTACATTAATTATTGATACTTTGTAAAACGACATAGTCATAATCAGTTTAGCCTTTCACTTTACCAAAGCATGCAGATTTCAAATAAGGTTAATTTCAAGTCACCAACTTTCTGGAGATATTTTTATTGGGGATAGTCAGTCAGACCAGGTTAAATTCGTAGATTATATCACCTACCCAATCTTGCATACTATAAACAAAGCTTGTAAAAGTGTATCACTGCTGATAAATTCCCTTGCTTTCAGGTAACATTTTCCCTTTTAATCGACATTTCAAAGTATATTATTTAGCTAGGTAAGTCAAACAAAACTATTCAGTGGTTCTAAGCCACTGATGTTGAATATTTTTTTATTGCATTGTGATTTATCCTTTCAGTGATTCAGGAAGTCGATTAACAAACCCTCGGGTCATCAGCTCATCACAAACCTTTCATTTCTTGACTTAATCATTTAAGTATTATCTGAATCAGTTATTATTCCCAAACATAACATATTAGTTTACAAAACTGTACTCTAAGAACGTTACGTTTTCTGTTATGACCTCTGTTTTTCAGACTGATAAATGTGTTTATTTGGGTCATTGTCTTCTTGAATCAGTAGTCGTTTGCACTATCAGTGTGAAGTTTGAGATCTAGTCTTCTACAACCGTCCCATACCAAATTAATACTCTATTATACTAACATTTTGTTTCAGAGAGGAGTCAGTCTCGCTAGCAGTACCGGTTCTGGACCGATCGGACCAGCAGAACTAGCTTTAATGCTTCCCACACCACCATCCCATGACGCACCTCAACCTAGTCCTGTTGATGGTGTTTCAGTGTCCACCAACCGTATGAACCCTTCAACAACTTCAGTAAGCACCCCTGGGCCTGGCTCTCCGTCTGTTCAAACAATCCAGGACTCATTATCTTCCAATGTAACAGACACATCGTCACATTCGATTCCTGTACCTTTCCAGTCTGCCAATTCGCCACCGTCTTGTCAAAATCAGGGATTATGGCATCTTGCTAAACTGCCTTGCATTCAAAACCTCAGTAGCGTCAGCATGGAATCTCAAGTAGGCTCTTTTTGGTGATGAATAGTGTGAAGACATTTCTACAAAAAGTTGGTTATTTTCTCGAAATTAATATGCAACACGTCTTGACATAGTCAGTCAGTCAGTCAGCTACATAGCTCCATAATCAATTGGTGGAGCCACAATGAGATTACCCACTAATAACTACACTTTAGTTTTGATATTAAGGCTTAAAGCAAACTTTTTCTTTGAGACCTAGTGATGCCAATAAATTTTTCTTATCAGAAGAACAATGGTATTCAAATTTGATATAATAGTTTGAACTATCACTTTTACAACTTGTTTGACAATATGATTCCATTTATTGTTTGGCTGGAGTATTAAGTAATGAATCGATTATAATAATATGTTTTTTGCTGTTTTATTAAATGTTGAATCTATGCTGCTGATCGAGTGTCTGTTGTGACTTATTAATGCTGTTCTGATGTAAATATCGGCATTGGTACCATGATCTGATAATTTTCGATAATTCGAGCATGACAAAATATATGTAGCTGCAAAACCTTAATAAAAATAAAAAATGGTTATACCTCACCATTTTCATGAACGTGCTTATAACTAATTGATTCATAAATGTCTGTTTCAGGACTGGTCTTTCGTTCAACCTTGCGCTGCTTATCTCGGTATGACAAGTAACTATCAAATCCCTCATGACGAAATTTCATTATTCGCAAAGTCTCTACCTCAGCTGAAATGGTCGTATGACCATCGTGCATCAAACCAAAAATCTGTCACGTCAGATTGTTTAGATCCACATTTTACACCTAATGGGTTGGTTGTCAACACTGGGAATCAGTCTGTGACATCTAAGTCTTGGCTAACGTCTCCCAATTCTTTTCCTTCAACTTCATTACATCGAAATGTTGCAAACACTGATAATAAACCTTGTTCACCTCAACAACTGAATGAGTCTGGGACTACCTATTCTATCACAGGGTTTGTGAAGTCAGCAGATTGTACGAATCCTAATACCAATTACGTAGAGGATTACACCGAGTGGTTAGCCAGCTTACTTGAAACCAATGGACTTTTAGTAAATTTAATCCTTTCAGATTCTATGCTAAATTTATTCAAAGACCATAATTTTGATTCCTGTAACATTTGTGAATGCACGTCATCCATACTTGGCTCTGAAATTGGTCTTTACTTATCCAATTCAATATCTACAACGTCACCTTGTAGTAGATCAGGACGAACAAACATTTCAACTTTTGGAAGTCATGACCTAGTTGGCGGGTCTGGGTTCCATTTTACACGAGGATGTAAATGTGGTTTCAGTGCTGTGATGAATCAGAAATATGTAGTTAATGGAAATTTATTCTATGAAGATGAAATTGAAGTAACCCGATTGTCTGTTCGGTCTTCTTTGAGTCAGAACAATGAAAATCCATATACTCGTCCACCGAACTACCGAACACGTCCAGGTTGGTGGGTAACCAGTTCTCATCCTTCTGTTAGTCATTTGCTTTTACTTCAACGGATAATGAGTAGCGTATTTGAAGAATTTAGTGTTCGACAGATAACTGATCAACTAAGATGGAATATGTTGTCGTGTGACCAAGTCATTAAAGAAAATAAACTAGAATATGATGGTAAGTTTAAGTGTTCATAAAGTATAAGAATTTCATGTTTATGCCTTGTCCGTTAACACCTCAAAGATGTTCCATCATGACTGTTTGTTTATTAATTATGGAGTCATAAGTTATTGGATTTAGTATTCATAAACTTGGAGTGCTGGTTGATTTTATCAATACCTTCAATCAGTTATATATTATTATCAGAATGGGTTTTGTGGAGATTTTAGAAATTTCACAGATTGAAATCATGAGTCAGTTGAAGCTAGACGGCCGTCCAGTGCTTCCAGGTTTTCAATGGTGGTCTAGCTTCAACTGACTCATGATTTCAATCTGTGAAGTTATATATTAGCCAGCCTTTTTTTTAAAACACACACAAGTGTTCATCATAGTGGATGCCAATCAAATTAAGTTCATCAATTTAGAACTGAAGTAGATCGGTACTGTACTTTATTCCAAAAACATCAATTATTAACCGGTAACTGGGAGAAAAGCATTGAAATAATATAGGGGAAAGAAAAGTGGAATCAAAAATATCCAACCGCATATTTTCCGGGTTAACGTAATTGCGTTATGTTTGTTCACGTAATAAAACCAAATTCATGTAAGTCATATCAACATTGAAATTACAAAACTATCGCATTCATTAATTGTAGTGAGTTATGTATGCGAACCAATTTGTTACTAGAGTATTATTCTCATCAATAGTCATCTGGTTTTCATTTATTTCAGGAGATAACAAGGTACAAGATGTTTTCATTTAAATAGGACTTGTGTACGTTACGTTACATATCAGGTTATTATTCAACATGGTTTGTGGATCTTGATAACTTTAATTTTGTTGGGCAGAAGTTTTTAGTACAGGTTTTGTGCTTCATACTGATCACTGGGGAGATTTCTACGAATATAAGCCCTCTAATACAATTTCATACTAATTAACTTATTAGTTGCATTGTATTCGTTAATTGATTCATTAATTCTGATTACCACTGACTGTAAAATCATGAAGTACAATTCATCTCAATTTTCTTCTATCATTATTTAGTCTAAACGTTTCATGATATTTTAGCTGTGATTATTAAAGCTTTCTCCTTTCACGTGTCCTTTTCCAAAAGTCAGAATCTTTGCCTTTTTTGTACTGTTTCCTGATGATCCTAATTGCAAAATTTACTTTACTTTACGTTTCTATTTAAAATAATTATTTTTATTGATCTAACTTATTCAGATGCTTGTGCTCTAATTGCGTCGGCTATTCGCAATTCCGTTGAAACAGTGCGTCCACGCAGAGTAGTTGGCCATGTTGACAATATTGATTCCATTGCCAATGGTACACCTCATCCGGCTTCCGAAACTGGTGCGTTTATTCACCCATCTTTTTTTCTAAAAGCTCATTCTAAGATGCCTCAAAATCAAAACGACCAGATTCGCTTATTGACAGTAAGTAGTTTTGTGTCCGTTTTTGTGGTTTTATTCATTTTTTCTACTGTGATTATTTAAAGTTTATTTGCCATTAACGTCGGCGGCTACTGCATTTCATATGTGAACTTAATGTAATTAATAGACTTATCACTTTGAGAACGTCATAATATTATTTCTTTTTCGCTGATTTCTCGGTTTATGGGACGGCATGAAAAATGAATTTCAATAACAACAAGAAATATTCAAAACGATAATCAGGCTAAGTCAAAGTATTCCACTTGTCTAGTAATGCCCAACGGGTATTATTTTTCCCAATATTAATTTTTGCAGAAAACAATCGGTTTGTTTCCGTAGAATCGTGAACAATTTCTGTACGATCTACTGTGTAATTCATTTATTTTAGTTCGTCAAGCTTAACGATTCAGATAAGTTTATCCTTTTCTTTGAAATTTCTAATCATATTTTAGCACTTACTGTACTTATTTCCTCTCGCGCAAGTAGTCTCTGTTATTATAACTGTTGAGGCCAATGCATATACTCGAACGTTAATGGAGAGCGATATATTCATGTCTCATAAACGGAAAGAAAGTAGTGTGTAGTTGTTTCCGTTTATTTTAGATACTTGCTTGTACTGTGGAAATTTGTTGTTTGTCATTTCTGGATGCTAAGTTTTCTAAATTTTACCTGAGTACTATAATATTCTTGGTTTCCTTGGACTAAGTATTGTTCATCATTGTTTTTGTCATTCGAATCTAAATGTAATTGGTCTATAAGTGTGAAGATGAGGTTCACCACACCTCTTTATTTATTATATTTGCGAGCACCCTTCAGTATTTTAAAATATTTTCGTTTGTTATTCTGTGATTATGCCAATGTCTACGACTGTCGTTTGTTCTTGTATTGAATTACAATATACCATATATAATTGTAATAAAGATGAATGACTGTAGCAATGATGATAGATGTAATAGATCTCAGTAAATCACCTTTTCTATGAAAAAGCTATCGTTTCATTATTTTCAGAATTTGCTACATAATTACTCGGTTGCTAAACTAATGAACGCATCTTCCTTTCAAGACATTTAATGTGTAAATTTCACATAATTTCCTGGTAATCTCTTTTTAGTAACAAAACGCTTGTTGGTCTATGTACGAACGCACAATTGATCTATCTAAAAGTGTTATTGTGTTTAAAAATAGGGTTTAGTTCGGCTAGATTGTATTGGTTCCATGTAACTTATTCACTTATGTTTACTTGAAATTTTTCTTCGCTTTGGTGTAAAACTCACTTTTTGATTGCTAAATAAGGGTTATAATTTGATTAGATATTAAAGTATGTACCTCTAAATATGCATTCGTTTTTTATTTCCAGACAATGCGTCCTTGGCTTCAGGAGGCCATTTCGTCTACTCGTATGTTAGAATCAAACTATACGGTTGATGGACCATTAACTTGGAAAGCATTTCATCAACTTGCTGGTCGAGGCTCTGATGAAACTTGTAAACCTCAACCGATTCCTCAGTTGCGCGTTAGCAGTTGCGACCAAGAAAACTTGTTAATTTCTCCATTCGCTCTTCGTGATTGGGTAATGTTTGCCGTCTTATTTCCTTCAAATATGTTCTTTATTTTGCTTATTGCTAGTCACGTATACTCTTATCAACTTTTCTCAAAATTATTTTACGAAACCTTAGCGATCGAATGTGTCTCCCTCAGTTGCATTGCACGTGTATAATCGTGTTTTTGAGAAAATTTATTAAATTTGGCTCTTCTGAGCCTATAGTATTATCTACTTTCATTTTATTTAATGATTTGTAGTGTGAATATCTCTATGATCTTCAGGTTTGTTTTGAACTATTTTGTCAAGGTTATCTGTCATAGTTAATTTCATACATGTCTATACACTGTTTGTTATTTTGTCTGTATTTATTTATAATTAGCCGTCTTATTTCATGGTTTTATAGGACCGATTATCACTATTTCCATTATCGCGACCTAAACGTATTGCTTATGCTGTGATCTTGCCTTCTGACTCTCATATATTCTCTGATTTGACATCTAATATTCCTAATATTCTAATGTCTGAGGGCACCGATGCAAATTCTTCCTCGACCTCAAACTCATTAAGACGTACTCTTGTTGATTTTCTGAAAGAACTGTCACATACCTATGAAGCTTGCCATCTTGGCCAGCATTTCCCGTATTACAAACCAGAAGCAGGTTCTCCTGATACAGCGTTTATACCCGTCTTTCCAAATCCAGGTAAGTTGTTTGTTATATTTAGTTTTTGGTTTTTATAATTCAAAACGAATAAATTATTTACAAGACTAACTCCACATCTAATCATTCCTTCGAATGAAAGTTTAATTTGTCAAATAGTGTGTTAAGGACACAACTTTCCTTTAAGATGTCTTTATTTAACTGTCCGTAGAATAGCAGTCTGGCGTTTCTTGCTTGTTAAGTAACAGTTTCGATTATCATTGTTATTAAAGTTATGCACATAGATTCGTAATGAAATCTAATAAATGTTTGTCACCTATGTTTTTGATAGTGTCGTTTCAAAGTTAAAAATATCAAGACTTTCATAATTTCCTTCTACCTACAACAGGATTCCGTAAAAAAGTTTCTGTCTATGAGGTTACAAACACACCACCAATAAAAACTAACACGCAGGTTTTCTTGCTTACAGACTCCAGTTTTGGTTTTGTTAACTTAGGAGTCATATTGTAAACTAGTTCGTCAATTTCGTCCACTTGACTTATTTAGTAATCAGTAGGTTGTGAAAGTAGTTAGGTTATTAATTTTCGATATCATTACATATGATAAGTTTTTATCCCGAAGTTTAATCTCAGTATGTTAATTGAATATTTCATTGATACATCTGTCGTAGGAATTCCGATGTTATAATCGATTTATTTTTTAACACCTGCATTTCAGAACGTCTTTCAATATCAGAATCTGATAACTTCGTAAGTATTCATCCGGATCTTCTGAAAACTCTTACAGAACAACTGGGTAATCATTCACTATGTGGAGAATCAATACTACGACTTATTCAAAACTACGCCTGCTCTTCAGTGAACTCCGCCATAGCTGCATTGAAGAAACACGGTGTTGCTGTGGAGTTTAGTTTTGATACGAATCTTCGCTCTGCCTTGTTCCCACCTTTTGAATCAATAAAATCAGAGAAGCCTAGCGTCCCTGTAAAAATCAGTCAAGATGATATAAAATTAAATATTGTAAACCGACTTTCAGTTCCAAGCAGAATGGATAGTGGCTGCTCTGTACGCTACAGTAATGGTGATGGTTCCTTCACCACATCCTTGGATACATCCTCTTGGGGAGCGGGGAGTGATGTTTATTTAGTAATATACATTCTAAATCCTTTCTGCTACGTAAGTGATTGATTACGCAATGAATACCCGCTTCTATCAATACTTCTTCATCAACTTTAAAAGTTAACTATTCCTATTCTAAGTTTCGGGAGTCAAATAAAATATGTTCTGGATACTAGCCTCACCGGTTGATAAAAGTTGCTCCTTGTTGATTTTAGTCGATTGATCATCATTTTTACACTCAATAATTTTGGTCATATTTCACAGAACACTTTTTCTGTATTCCATCTAACTTGAAACCAAATGGTATTTATGATTATTCTATATATTCATTGGGAACTTTTTCAATATTGAAACAAATTTTTTTTAACCAATTGCTTAAACTTCATTTGCGTGTTTGTGCAAGAAACATATTCTTACATATTTTGTCACAACTGAGACATATCTGTTAGTTATCACCCTATTTAAACTGAATGGCTTTACATATAAAACCATTCGTATTTTTTCAGACCACATAAGCATCTTGTTTTGGCCAATCTCCTAGTCATTTGATGTATATTTTGCCTTCTGTTGAATTAAACTTGGGTATTAAATATACGGGTAGGATAATTGACTACGTACACTCCTAGTCTGAACTGTTGTATAGGTAAAATAACTAAATCGAAATGCGTTGTATAAAGCTGATTTACAACTTGGGAATCAAAGTTTTCACTGATTTTGAAATATATGGCTGAAGATTACCGTAATCAACATTTTCTTACCTATCTTAATTGTGCTTTACATTTTAAAATTAATTTGTACAATATGTAGAAATCACTTCCATATTCTATGGAAATATTGTAATCCAACTGGTTTGATGCTAACAGTTTTGTAATTTGACGTAGAGTAAATTTTAAAAGCAAACGGTTATAGCTTTACTGTCTAGCTATTGTTCTTAAAAAGGTTTCTATACTGTAAAGAAAGGAAATGTATTGGTTACACTTGGTATAGTTTGGCTCGTATCTTCCTATTGAGATTTAAGACTGCAATTGATCAGTCTGTTATTGGCATATGTGCATACTGTGCGTATGCCTCGATATTACCTTAATTCACAAGCTATTTGTAAGCAATGATGGATAGTGGCTAGCAGTGGAATCCAGGACGCATCCCAGAGTGAACATCAACTCTGGGATGCAGGTACATCCAGCTGACGAGTCCCAAATAGGACGAAACGCGCGTCCTGAATTCCACTGCTAACCACTATCCATCAATGTATTGGTTAGCTGTGTATTTTTAATTAACACCTGTAGTTCCAAAATCTTGATATAATAATCTGATCATGGACTAAGTTTTATGAATAACTGGTTTATTCAATCACTGTAGGGTCTTATATCATTTTCCTTGCCGAGTCTATCCTCTTAAGTATTTTATAAATTTTTATTCAATCATATTTAATAAAGACAGAAAAATGATAAAGAGATTACTGACTAAATAATTATTTTGGTTTAATTTTGTAGTTTGTAAAAGTATGCACAAATATGTTGATAATCCAATAAATTTCACGTAATGTTTTCGAATGGCAAATTTCACCGATCACTTTATCTTTATTTACAATCGTCAAGCCATTAACAGAGATGATTGTAAGACCTATTATCTGAATAATATTAATCAGCATCGCTTCTGGAATTTCATTTTTGTATAAGCTGAACTGTGTGTATTATAATGTTTACATCACATTGATCTCAGTATTTATGTTCTTTTATTTATTTTATTTTAGTTGTATGATATCAGTATGGAGCTTGGTCGTCTTGTTATGCAGTCATTAGTCGGTTCTGCCAATCATATATTGAATTCCTTACCTGAATCATGGCGTGCACGTGTCACTACACAAATTTTATCAGTTGATCATGTCATGTCTGACTATTTGCCTCGTTTACGACCTTTAGCACTGGCAATTTACACATCTGTGAATCGTTTCATTGAGCCCAGTTTAATAAATGCAAATCGTACATTAACGGGTATAGGTCCAGCAGCTGAAAAAGAAATTATTTCAAATGATAAAGACGTAAGTTAAACCAAAATTCAAGACTTCCTAATGCTTCGGGTAGTTGTTTAACAATCCCTTTAAAAAAATTCCTTGGTCATCTTTCTCATCACCTACTAAAAGCATAACTTTCATTCGGTCAAGTTTCAAATTGTTCTTTTTCTATGTGTATGATTCCGTGTTAGTGGTTTCTGTAGAAAAATACTATACTGTTGACCTTGAGCTAATTATTAGCAAACTAGAAAACAAAAGCAGTAAAATTACAGTGGATAAATAAATTTGATATGATCATTGAACCTTTACACATTGCATTATTTATTATAGTAAACGGAGAGAGATTAAGTCTAGGTATTCGGAGTTAGGTTAAAGTTATAAATAACGATTAGGGTTTTCGTCACGAATCAACGTCAGCTATAATGCAATGATTCTTTATTACCCTTTCAATTATAAACGTATGTAACAGAGTAGCATATTTGAGGAAAAGTGGTTTGGGGGTTAAACCATATGACATACAACCGTTGAGTTATATTGTCAATTCAAATGTCATGAATATCAGTTCGGCCAACTTGATTGAACCATTAAATTTCATATATGAAATTTTGCTCGAAGCTAAATACATAGATATGTATTTAGGTTACTGAGTAACATTTAACTTTCTCATAATCAATTACTGTACCGTTTGTGGATTTTACCATGAAGGTCAATTGCTCACCATTAATGTTGACAGCTCATTTTATTTACAAAGTTTTCTTTTCAACTATCTACTTTGCAAACATTGTGCATATTTATATTCTTTGTTATTGTCTGTTTTTTGTTGTTTTTATTTAATTTTATTAGGTTGAATGCTATTGATTTACTTTAAATTCAATTCTCTTTTCTTTTGTATATAAAGAAAATAGTTATTTGTTAGTTGTGAACTAGTCAATTAACCTGGCCAGCTCTCTATCTAAATATAATTGAAATGCACCTTATATGATTAAAAATCTGTTCAATAATGATATATTTTATCTAGGTTGAATTTACTGACCTGTAATTATTCATTAACTGGTAGAAACAATTGAATTTGTTTTTATTATCATTTTGTATTCCTTATTCATAAAAAATAATGAATATGAAGTATCATTTTGTGTTTTTAAATTCTTCACGTGTCTACACAACGTATCATAAATAACAGATTATATATATGTGTATCTGTTAATCACTGACCGTGCTTACTTAAAACACACCGAATAATTGTCATTATTCATAATGAATAAATTTAGAAGCGACAAACAACTTTTCTATTGAACTGTATTAGTTCGTCGCAACTTTAACACTACTTTTATTCTCCTCTAAAATCAATGTTTGTCTATAAACTAGAGAAAGAATTTTCTCGAAGTGACTTTATTAAGTGTAATTCACACATACACACACAGTACTTACAGGTACAACTTCATATAGTATTTATTTAGTTTTTACATGTTCAGTGTGTTATATTTAGTAGAATAAGCTCAGAATGATAATTTCTTGTTTTATGCAGAAATTTGTTTTCTTTTTGTATAGCAGCTGTATTGTTGATTGCAATGAAATGTTAGCCATTTATTAAATATTGCTCGTAGTTTGTATCCTAAGGTGGTATGATTAAATATTTTAGTTAATTTATTGCTGATTATAACAGTGGGAATACGCTACTATGTCAGTCAGTATATGCTGTAATCAGAAAAATTAGGGTTTGAAGATGTTATTCAAGGAGTATGATCCAGTGAAATAAATTTGGAAAGATAAAAAAACGGACATGAATTATTTAGAAAATTAGAATTTGGGAGAACACAAAGAGTGTATGCACCTGTGCCATTGCAAACGATTTTGAGCCATGTCATTCAGGGTCTCTAACCATCGGTTGCTATCATCTCGCGGTCCCCAACCAGGTAGTCTACACCTACCAACATGACTCAGTCTACTTGTCAGTGACTTCATGGACTTGTGCCATGTTTTGGTCTGACCGCCCCTAGCTTTCTTTCAATCTACTCCTATACAACAAAACATCGCACATCGAGGCAGGCGGTGGTTGGCATACGTAACACGTGTCCCAGCCATCTCAACTGATGAAGTTTCACTACGTCATCAATTGATTTGCCATTCTTACCTAGTACCTGTTTCCTAACAACTGCATTACTTACTCGATGGTCCCATGATATACGAGCAATATTTCAAAGACACCTATGATCAAATACACTACTATGTATATCTAATGCTTGTTACAAATATTTGAAATCTAACAATCTTTATAAATAGATCAAATAATTCGATGAAAAAAGTGGCAATGAACACGACAGTCTGGATAAGTTAAGGGATGAAATTGTTTATTAAAAGCTGATATGGCAATTTGTGGAGATTTGCATTTCCCCCTTTTTGATATTCAGGATTGATATTGATCAGTTAAACTTACACAATTAACTTCATATCTGTTGAACAATTTAGAGGCTATCTGGTAACAGCTTGATGAATAATGTATTGGTGTTTAAAGGGTTACGTACTGCTTATAAGTTCAGCTGATGAGTTTTTGACAGAACGAAACCCAACTCTTGGATTCCGTGGCTAATCGTAATCCATTTATTTTTACTGGTGTGTTTTTCCTGGAACATTTTTCCAACTCACCGATGTTAACAATATGTTTGTAATTATTTTGTATTTCAAGAAATATTAAAAGAACTATGTATCACTGAATACTTTTATGAAGTCTGAGAAAAGCCTACACTTTTTAGTCCCATGAAATATTTTTGTAAAGTTAATTGTTCTTAGTTCCTACCAAATTTTTGCTACCCGTATACTCGATGAATAAGTTTTGAATTGATGTAAAGCAAATGTTTAGTGGTTAAAATGTGACTTTCAACTATCGGGTTGCCACCTCACAATTGTCTCCATATATTTAAGTGTAACCAACTACATCATCCTCACAAATATTATAGTATGGATCAAGGCTGTTTACACAGACTTACTATTCATCTTATTAATTTCATATAGATAATGTATGTGACAGCTTGAGGTGATACGCACTTATGACATGCTATGTGTTGGCTATAACTGTTTAGCTGTTCTTGGTTATTTACTATTCAATTGTATATTAGTACTTAGTCGTATGTATAAGTTTAATTGTCGAATTTTCGCACTGTTGTTTTTTAAATATATCTACCTTTACACTTTTAAACCATATCAATTTAGAGCTTCCATAAACGAACTATATTTGCGCCTCCATATACGCTCATGAACTCACGTGATGTACTCAGTCAACTAGATATTTCATCAGAACCTATTGACCGGTCGTCTGTTTTATTTGTTGCATATTGTCTTTCACAAGATCAACAATGGCTTCTTGCTACATTTACAGATGAACAAGGTGGATTATTAGATCATACTTTAATTAATATTCGTGTCCCAACAAGATATTTTACTGAAATAGAAAATCAACGTTTTCAGCCAACAGAATCAAATAAACATATATTAAGCCCTCGTCGTATTGGGCTTGCACGACTTTGGGATTATATTATTAATTTGATCAGTCAAACTGCCAACGCTTGGCGACTTGTAGTAGGAAGAATTGGTAGGTTGGGACAAGGAGAACTAAAAGGTTAGTTTCATTCTCTAGAAATAACTATTTTACTGTGATGGGTATTACTACATAATATTTGCATTTCCGAAGATATCTGAAACCTTTATTTTTAATAATATATTAGTTTTTTAACGATATTATCCAGAAATTACATTTCGTTTTCGCAAGTTCATCATGTGATAATTACTTAATCTTCTCGTTTTTCTCAGAATTTGTGTTATCGGTTACAAAAACCTCGGGAATATTGGTTAAATATCCTTCAAAAACCTGATTGTCAACAGCACCTTAAAATGTAAGGTCATATAAAGGTTTCCAGTGATCCCTTTAAAAATCTTGCTGATAAAGTAAATTATCATGCGAATAGACTGTAGTTCATGCCTCATTCTTTTCCTAAAAGACTTCATTAAAAACCTGTTCCCGTTTAAACACTATTACTCCCTTTTTTATCAATCAGTCTTGTCATATGCCACACAGAACCTGACATATATATGCCTCGGTTCAAGCTGCCACACTACATTAGCAAAACATTATAAAAATATCAAGACAAATCTCAGTGATAGAAGTAATAACAGTATCAGTGGTAGTGAAAAAGTTTAAGTATACAAAGATTAGTATATGGAAATTTTAGGATTTAGGTACTAAGATAGGGTAAAGAAAGAATGCATGTGGGTCATTCTGGACGATTCACTTGAAGCCTCTAACCAGTGGCTACGATAGTCGTAGACTCCTACAGGGTACTCTACACTTATTAACATGACCCCGTTCAGTCGTCAATGATATTATTGACTCATTTGGTTCCCGCAACTTCCTTTTGACCTACACCTACACATGATGTCACATACCGAAATAGGTCGTAGTAGAGCACCGGTAACATATCTCAACCACCTCAGTTTATAAAGATTCACTAGTCCACCGACCGACTAATCATCTTAATAATTATCCTATGCCTAGCCTCAGCATTGATCGCTCGGTAGTCCCAAAATACTTTAGTGGTGCTTCGAAGATACTTATAATTAAATACTAGTAACCTACGAACAGCCTCTATTCTTTACGACCATGCTTCACCTGCATGGATTAAAAGAGAGCGAACTGCTTTTCAGTAGGTTAGTCCTTCGTTCGACGTTCGCGTACGCAACAGATGATACAAGTTGACAAAATCCAGCCGAATTTACTAAATCCATGTAGAGATTTCGCCAGACACTAGCCCACCAGGGCGGGGGTGATGAAACATCAACATGCTCAGCTGCATCACCCTCTACCATTACTTCAGGTGTTGACAAAGACTGATCTTAAAATAGCGTTTCGCATTTAGATAGAGACTCACATCCCAGACTTGCATTGTTGCTTAAGGCTGTTTAAAGACAGCACTTTGTCAGGGTCTTCACCAAATAAAACTCATCATCTGCAACAAGTGAATTTCCTAGTAGGAGAATGTTTCTTGAAAATCTAAAAGATGAGAGCTGTCTCCAAAACGGTGTCTGTGATAAAGTTGAATAAAAATGATGAAATTGGACAGCCTTAACAAACACCACTTGAGGTTCACAGTTCTTGCGACGATTCGGTATAAGTTCTAACCTAACCAATAATGTTCTAGTCGAAAACCTGTACAAGGTTGATGTATGCCCTTTGATCCCAGGAACTTCACAGAACTTCTCGACCAACGGAATCGAACACTTAAGATCAACGAGTATATTTTTACACATCCACGTTGTTATAATCTTTTTCTTACGGTTATGGCCCAGCTATTCCTATTGCTTAGTATTCTCGGACACCGATTCACTCGACAAGTCCCCAAATCAGAACACGGTTAAACAGGAAAGAGATTATATTCCAGGTAACAAGGTTAGATGGAAATAAGAAGCAAGTCAGAAGCACAATAGAGAAAACGTTAGTATATTTATAGTTTTTACATGAGAAGATTCTAGAGTATTCCCCAACTATCGACTAGTGCTGGTTGGCTAATTCTTATCCAATCAGCGTGCACCAAAGCAATCGTGCATTGAGCATGCTTTAATCCAGTCTATGTCCCGCTAACACACGTCTAGGTCTAAAACTAACCTCGTTTACCTGAATTCTCTTCTCATTGGCTGTATCTAAGCGTGTGATGACTATAGCGGCTAGTATTTTGGACACTATGTTAATTGACCTGATTCCTCTGTGATTGTCACAAGAGAATTTTTATCCATTCGTGTAAACTGGAACATTCAGCAATCAAGACCAGTCAAATGGGATTACATCTAGTCCCCACATTCTAGCTAATATGTTAGTGATTATAACTGCTAAAAGTGAACCACAATCCTTGGAAATCTCTAAGTTAATTTTTCAGAACTTTCAAAGCTAATACTTATTGAGATTAGTGCTTAAAAGAATATCTTGTCGATACTTAACAATATTTCACTCATTCACTGTTGCTGTGAATAAGTAATATGAAACTTAATATCAATTGTTTTGAATCGTTCGTTACTTTTTGTAGGTTGGAATGGACTGTTAGGACGAAAAAGCCTTCAGGATGTAAATAAATTTTTTCGAGAGCGCTGTACTGCATGTAGTATATCATCTTGTGTTCCTTCACATTCGTCATCCATTAATAATGGTTCTAAGCCTATGTTGAATCTAGTCAATAGTTTCACTGGAGCCAGTAGTTGTACTCATGAACTCCCAAGTTTAATCAGCGCGTGTCTTGTTTCTCTCGAACCTCAAAGCACATTTCGTGTATATCCTGGTTTTGGTTTGTGTTCAGATGAATCATGGACGTACGGAGGTGGTGGAGGCGGTGGTAACGCAGGTGGTGGTGGTGGCTCTGGGAGTGCAGGTAGCACTGGTGGTAGTGGTGGTCTGAGTAACGGCGCTAACAGTGCATTTTATGGAGCCAATGCTTCACCATTAGCTATGCGTATGATGCCACTTTTAGGTACTCCAACAACGTCTACAGAAACACCTAGTGCAACCCATATTCTTGTCTTTCCTACTAGTACTTCAGCAAGTGGTGTGTCTGTAAGTTGATTTTTCATTTAGTATTAAGATTTTTGCATACAAGTTTGTTGTACTTAAATCGTACTTTTATAAGTTATTTGCTGTCATTTGAATGAGAAGTTGAACAGGTTTCCATAAAAATTATGGTATTTCAATTACTTGAAATTATGCACAATTTCAAACCCCGTTTATCGACACTTGTTCCATTCTCTAAATAATTTTTAAGTAGTGTCTTACATCTATACTTTGTGTATGATCCATAACCACTAAACACTCAATTTTGTTGTTAGGAAACAACTATTAGTGTATCTATGGATCTAGTTTTACAGACACGTGCTACCATAATAGCCGCAGTTGAACGTGTGGTTCGTAAGTGACTTTTATAAGCGTTGTTTTTTCTAATTTTAGCCACTTGGCTTCTCATCAGAATCTATTTCTGTAAATACTGCCTATCACTTCATATTCTACTAGTGTCATCAATTTTAGGTGATAGTTTTTTCCCACATAAAGAACAATTCAGATGGTTAGAGTTTTAAAGTATTTCTATTCAGTCTATACAATACATCGACTCGATAAACAGTGGTGTAAAATGGGTTTTAAAGTCACTAATTATGTACTCGTAGGTGTTGTGTGACATTAAAAATTATTATGATTGGTATAGACTGTTGTAGAGCATAGGTTTGAGTGCATTTTTGCGATTGAAGTTTGTGAATGTTAGAATAGTGAACAAAATCTTGATCATTGTGTGAAGCTCTTTGATACTATGTGCCTGTCAAATAACTACTCATGATATAGAACTACGGACACAATCCCTCGTATGGACTCTTGTCGAACAGCAAGACAACTGACCAGCGGAATAAGTTTTGTTTTTAATAAAAATAACATACTTCTATACAAATATTCGATGCGAAAATAAACTTTATTTGGCATCAAATAAGCGATAAAAGGGGTAAAAGTTTTGTCGGTCAATCATTTTTGCCGATTGAATTAAAACTTTGTGTTCTTGTTAGCTGGCGCATCATAGACGTATTTACACATAATTTTGTTCAAAGTAACATACAATATCAATCTGTATCTGTCTACTCTTCCTCTCATTTTTTTTAAATTGTCAAAAGATGATATACTATTTGGACCCATTTGTCCACGATCTAACGATTTTCAACTTCCCTGTCACTAGTTCAAATCTCGCTCTACCCACCTCGACTTAGTTAATTTTCCACACCACGAATGAAGTATACAGTCAAGTGAACAAGTCTTAACTAGATTTCTTTACTTTTAAATAGTCGGTTAAAACGTCCGTAAATATGTGTATACGCATGTATGCAGTATTTTAACGTTAGTTAATTATTATTTTTGAAGCGGATAGCATTATTAACTCACATGAACATAAGTCTGTATTTGATAAATGAGTCACTAAATTTATTAAATGTTCTTCTTGCTTAGTTATTTCCCAGAAATCTGATTTATCGATTATTTGTGGTTTAATGGTTTCAACATTTTTGAGCCTATTTAATTTTTAGGAACATGAGCCTTCTGGATTAGCTGAAGTCATCTATGGGATGGGGTCCGATGATATGAATGTATTTGACTGGCTTCTTCCCAACGATCCTGGCCTTGATGATCTCGTTCCTCCAAACGGATCAACAGCAGAAATGTTGGCTGACTTCGGTAATCCATCTGAATTAAATTTCGGCCTGTCCGACCTAGGTCCACCTGTTTGTGTCAGTGGTGTTAATGATGGTACGGGGAAGTCATCTAATGGTAGATTAGGCGATGGTAGTGATGTTTTGCATGGGCACAATGAGTACGCTGTCGGTTTTCATGATAATCGGGGACATGGGTGTTCTGATGTTATGGGTTTACGTGGACTTGATTCTGGACTACTGGATTTGGGACCAAATCATGTAAGTAACGTTGGAGGTTATTTGAGTGAACATTCATTCGGTCATGCTATAAATCCTCTCAACACAATGCCATTCGGAATACATGATCCTACAGTAAGTAAAATGTTCGTGTATTCATTTGAATTTCTCTTTGTTTTGATTTAACATCAGGTTGCTTAACGTAAACATCAGAATTAGCATATTTAAAACATTGTAGTCTCCTCATGTCACACCTGTTAGTTATACAACAAACGACTGCTTGATCAATTCTTAACTGTTTTATAGTCTCTGATTTGTCCAAACTAGTGTATGAACTTAAAGTTGTGGTTTTGGTTTCTTGTACTTTGGTCACTAAGAAATAAATTACAAAATGAAGCAATTTCATCATGAACGATAAAGGACATTGTTCATGAATCGCGTGTATTTATTCGTTATTAATAGTTTTGTGATTTCTGTGTAACATTCATCATAATTATAACATTTATATTGATTTTCTATGCTGTTTATCGTTTTTCTTTATAATTAGACGTTTTTACTTGGTTCTCTTAATTCGTTTCATAGTATGTTTGTACAGTAAACTGTAATCTTAGATAACTTTGGTCTAACAAGTTGAATATACTACGTTAAAGATCAAATTTGGATTTGAAAGGTGACAACTCCAAAATCTAGTTTCGACCAAGGTTTCTTTTTTAACCTTAGTTATTGTCATTTGATAATTGTAGAGATATTTTGCTTCGTCCACTTAATTTGTCATCATCTAAATGTATTGAGATACAGGGGAGTTTTATAATAAGGTGGCAAACTGCAGTTCTCAGTTGTATGATAATAATGCTCAGTATTGAATGATTGTAGTAAGATTAAAACGTATTCATAAAATGCTACTGGTAACTAATTTGGTTGGAAATGTTTCGACAATCCGTCTAACACGTATACTTTTGATCGAATATCTAATTTGTTTTGTGTATTTCGTTTTGCTTACTATTAAATCTACCATTTTTACTACTTAGGACGAAGTGGGAAGTTTGATGCAACAACCCTTGGCCATGGGATATTACATATCTACAGCTTCTGCCGGTCCACTGCCCTCATGGTTTTGGATTGCTTGTCCGCATTCCAAATTTCAGTATCCAGTTTGTTTGAAGTCTGCTCTGCATTTACAAACTACACTGGTTGGTGTTGACGATGCTGCAGCCGCAGCTCCTCCACCGACTGGGGGTTCAAGCGGTCCGGGGGTTGGACCGTCGTCAAATCGTCCGGGACATCTTCTAGATTCAAGCAGCACATGTGATGTATTAAGATACGTTTTAGAAACATATAATGCTTTATCTTGGTTAACCATTGATCCAACAACAAACGATCGTAGAACTTGCTTACCTATTCACATTCTTTCCTTATCACAAATATACCAGGCTTTTGAAGCATTCACTTGATTTTATTGCATCTCTGTAATTTATTTGTAGATATTAAGTAATGTTTCTTTTTTTAAAGAAATGATGGCAGCTTGTAATATGCCAGTAAATCTTTCATGAAAATTTAATGATTTCTCTATCATATCCCTTATTATTTACATTTTATCCTTTCACTTATTTATTCTTGCCAGTTTGTAAATTGATATTGTTTATTTCCATCAGGGTAGATATTACTTAATCATAATGTTTATGATAATAATTGTATTGTTGACTGTAAATGTATATAAAGTGATCATTTTATTCTTTACATAGAAATAATTAATTCCGAATTGATTTGTTTAAAAATCACTATTGTTTAACATAAGTCTTTTATCATTGTCATGGATTCTATAGTCTAAAGCGATTATATTAGAGCCAGTTACAATGGATTAACTTTGCCTTTGCTTTGCTAAGCAGTGGTTTTACTTCAATTGAAATATCACTTAAGATGATTTTGTATGCGTATGTGTCATTTTCAGCTTTTATAACTAAACAATAGATTGGTTAGATTTGTAGCAGTCTGAAGAGTAAATCAATTAGTAAATGAAATATGTACTCCACAACAGCATTTAGTAACAATGATAAATTCTACTGTTTTGTGTGGTAGTTTCTGAGAACCTTTCTATGCGATAGAAAAACACGAAAATTATTTTGCAGATGCTAACCTCATTGAACTCGTAATATTCTTGACACTACCATATGATAATTAGAAGAGAATCAACTTTAATTGTGACTTGTTATTTTAAACTCATTTTAAAAGAATAATCGAGTTGGGATAGTTAGGATAAACTTAGTATAGAATTATTTCGATAATATAAATCATATGAGACTATCTGAGAATTTCGATTCTTAATAACTGGAATTTCATTAAAACTAACATTCATATTTTAGTTAGGAAATCGTACTTTAGGATTAGATATTGAAGTATACTGTCAAAATCTATTCAGTAGTAGTAGCTAAAATAAATCTGAATCAACTACAATAATGGTGAAATATAAAATACAAGGAAACTGTGATGTTATATACATTACACATTGATTAAGTTACAGATCAACATGAGCTGTTGAGTTATGAATTAAGAATCCTATCTCTAATGTCTGTTCTTAGATTTACATCGTCAGGATTATCTTACTGGCCAACTCATGTTTTGGATCAATTAGTACAGATCATTCAGCAAGTTTTCCTCCATAATATTAAACAATTTAGCACTACATAAGTGCTTGCACTTCTACTCCGGTTATCCGATGTTTTGGCGATCAATGAGACATAAGAAGCGTACCAATATTTTTGTCGTCGATTTCTATTTTATTAGCGGAAATACACTTATTTTATCAATCCAAGTGGTCGTATTAAATCCATCCAGTCACAAGTAAACAGGTATTACTCGTGTAGTTATTCATATGGAATTGACATAAGTTACTACTAGCCAGATATGTCTTAGAGTGATGTCACGTTAATTTTTGATGACAAAAAATACTTCGAAAACGCGTTCTTTTAGTTTTCAGGATTGATAATATTACCAAAGTTTCATGAGATTATGTACTGTTACATGCAATGAGAACCCCTCCTATATCTCTTCTAGGTTTATTGCTGGTCCCAAGCCTGAGTAAATAAGTAGGGTTGGGCATGGGGTCAGCAACCCCTTGATAAAAAACACTAATCTGCAATGAAGTAAAATTTTCACCTCACTGGTTATCCTTCATATTGTTTTGTGTTTTTCCAGGTCTTTTACAACAGGGAGAGATCAATATCAAAAAACCGATGCAGTTAGTGTATCGATTTACTATTTATGTTTCACTGTCTGCATAAAATTCATTCCCATCAGTATAACATGACTAGTGACTGTGGAAACAAAATTAATCGTACATTTAGTTTTAGGGCTCCTTCAATAAACATAAAAACTCAGCAATCTCTACAATTATATACTGATCTAAAAACTTATAATGCACAATTAGAATCGATAATTTATGTTTTGGAGACTGAATACATAATAAAAATAAAAATGTATTATGTTTACTTAATAACTCAAAGATTGTGTAATGACATAACAACTGACTAGTAAATTAATTTTGTTTAATTAAAACTAATCACTTGACTGAGACGATCTAAAACATGAAGATATTAATAATCCCATTTAAAATACTAAACTACCGTTTATAAATATGATAATCAATTTAAATAGAATGATTGTAATTTAATGCTTATTAACCTGATACAAGATGAAATAGATCACAAGATATTCAATAGGATTTTACTTAAAAATCTTGTTCCTAACTGATAAATACGTCAATTAGCTACATTTCAAATCTTGTTTTTTTTCTTTTCATAAAATATCAATCTAAAATCTATCTCATTGGGTTTACTTGGCAAAGTATTTTATTTATTTTAATGTTCATTAATAAATCTTGTCAAGTTAGTGAATATAAGATGTCAGAAGGGATTTCGTTAAGATTTTTGATAATTTCTATTGCTGAGATTATGAGTCAATTGAAGCTAGACCACTATGGAAAACCTGGAAGCACTGGACGGCCGATTCGTCCTATTGTGTGACTCCTCAACAGTGCGCATCTACCATCCTGCCTTGCGGGATCCGAACCCAGGACCTACTGGTCTCGCTCGTGTGCACTTAATCACTAAGCCAAGTGAACACTTTTTCCTGTTTCATACTTTTCATAAGTGTATACTAGTGATGTTGTCTAGGATCAGTTTCAAACGTCTAATGAATGTATAGTTATTACATTCATTATGTAAATTCAATGAACCGGTAAAATTCAGTGATTTTCAAATTTCTTTTTCTTTAAATTCAAGTAAATTGTAATAATTTAAAATATATGTTAAGCTGTCTTATTCTGTATTGCAAGATAAGCAGACAATTTGTTGAAGCGTTTCCTTTGTTGGCTTCAAGAATATTTCGTAGTATGTACTGATGATAAATAACATGGATTAATTACTCAGCATGTTTTAAAATCAAGATATTCAAACTTAAATTATTTTAATAGTTGAGATCATGAATCAATTGAAGTTAGACCACCATGGAAAACCTGGAAGTACTGGACGGCCGTTTCGTCCTATTTTATGACTCCTCAGCAGTGCGTGTCCACGATCCCGCCTCATGAGATTCGAACTCAGGACCCTTCGGTCTCTCGCGCGAACGCCTAACCTCTAGACTACTGAGCTGGCATCCAACGGTGTTAGTGTGTAACTTCAGCTAATCTACAAAATTGGGCGACACGTCCACCATTATCTTCAGTGAGTTACTATCTCATAACAGACCCAGTTGAACTCCATTGGTCACTGCTTCTCACTAGAACTCCAGGAAATACCTCTTAAAGCCAGTCACTAGTGTGCATATGTTGATTAGTATCAGAAGGAGTTTTGTGGATATTATAGTTATTTTACTAGTTGAGATCATGAATCAATTGAAGCTAGAGCACCATGGAAAACCTAAATTATTTCTTTAATGTTTTGCAAAATATCCAGTAAAGTGACACAAGACGTGTAGACCTTAGTCTACATAAGAGGTGCGTTATAACTCATTAAAATCTTTTATCACATTGGTGAAGCAAGTTCTGATTAAATCATGGAACATGAATGAGTATTCATAATTGGATGCTGAAGCTTGAAGAATGCTGATTACTTTCTTCTGTTACAAAAAATGTATTTTGGTATTTGGCTATTTGGGTTGTCTCGAAAAATCAGTTCTATGTTTAGGAACATGAGCCGATCTTAGTTAATCAATCACGGCAAACTGAAAAATACTGATCAGCTATTTCGTTCCAGTATTACACTCCTCAGCCATTTTTTTCCTCCACCACCCCACAACCAGGGTCGAATTCAGGCCCTTCAGACTGATACACAAAGGCTGAACATTCATACACTGATCTGCAATTCAGTTAATTACATGTTCAGCTTCAATTAATTGCTAATATCGCACAACAATATTTGAATGAATTTAGTGATTGACTGACTCACATTAAGCATCGTTAAATTCTACTGATTATGACTTTTTACTAAAACTCCGAGATCACCGATGCTCCTGAGTTCAGTCATTGGTTGTGGGATTGTGAACATGCACTACTGAGAAGTATCATGTTAAGATGAAACGGCTGCTTACGGCTTCCTGTTTTTAAATAGTTGTTTAGCTAAACTCAATGTCATTCGGTTTAATCATCTATTTCAAACAGTTAAATATTAAAAGGTTGTTAATAAATGTTGATACAACTATTTGTTATTTGCATAGGAACAAGATAAGGAAGATTACAGAAAAGAAATACCTAATCGTGAAACTGTTGATTTACAATAAAATCTTATTTCAGTGATTGAAAATTAGATGATTTAACTAAATCATCTAATTATTCTTTTATTTAACTACGAACACATTAATTTACATGTTGGATTTGATTTTTTATTTCAGTATACTTTTCAAATGACGAACTTTGCTCTCAATTTCATGCTTAAATAGCATGAACCGATAAATGATATAAAACTAAAAGGTACTAGGTAGTTTTTGTACTCTGATTTAGAATATTTTTAGTTACTCATCTCAAACCATGCGGAATCGAGCTCAAGGTCTTAAGTCCTCACAGGTTTCTTTTCATTATTATTATTATAACTAAAAACTCAATGAAACATCTTCCAACAGTTGATTGACAAATTATAGTATAGCAAATATATTTTATACCTGAATGAATTATTGGTTCAAGACTCTAGGATATTGAATGTCTTTTTCATTATCATAACTTCATCATGATTATTTTATGCAAAGATCCATTGTTATCTTCAATAATTTTATCAATATTCATCTACACAAAACTGTTGAATCAACAGTTAACATAAATTTTTCTTTATTAAACCATGATAAATTTATTTGAATGATTTTGTACAATGGAAAGATAATTTTTTCATAAAACACTAATATCGATTTTGAATTAGAAAATATTAGGCGTTTGTTTGATTTCACTTTAAGACCCCTATTCAATATTATACATCCATAAACTTGTAAAGGATCAAATTTGAGATAAACACAATTCCTGTCAAAATATTGAGTTAGTATCACTAATGGTTTAAAATTTTTAATCTCAACCAACTTGTCAAACAATACAATTCTCATTCGCTGTTATCGATGTGTGATTGTCTAATTCTAGATTGAATTGACTCTATAAATTGTCTTTTCAATAGAACTTTGTGAAATCTTTTCAGAAACCAATCGTTAAGAAAATCATATAATTATCGTTTTATGGTTGAATTTTGTAATGATTGTTCACATAGTTTAGAGGTGACTTTTTATAATGAACTAATATTCAATTGGTGTTGTTTT